TACTCGCGGATAGAGAGTGATGCGATTTTCGATGCGCGTAATGCGCGATAATCACTTTGGCTGGTAACACGCGCGGAATGCAGCTTCACGTCCCATTCGCCGCATTCCTTGGTCTCTCTCTTTCTCTCTCTCTCTCTCTCTCTCTCTCTCTCTCTCTCTCTCTCTCTCTCTCTCTCTCTCGTCTCTCTGATGAAAATCGGCGCGCGTAAGTACGCGATCGCCATGTACGAGACGAGACACGCGGCGATTTGCACGCGAGCGTGTACTAGCGAATAAAGAGGTCGCCGTAAATGCCCCGGCGTTAATTCGCCGTGAGAGTTTTGTAGGACACGCCGAGCACACGAGGACGGGGCGGGGCGGGGCGAGACGAGCACTTGTCGGCCGGAGCGTTACAGCGGTACGTCAGCTTGGACACACGGCCGAACGGTTTCTCGACGCCGGGTCCGGGTCGACGCCCTGCCAAACTTCCTAATCGCGCGTCCTGTATCGCGTCACGTTCGATTCACGTTCGAACAAACGACTCCGTACGTACCACTCATGTACGTACCACAAGTCGCAAGTGGAGATAATGTCGACTTTGGTCTCTAAAAACTTCACCTGCACCTGAGACACATGAGAAATGAGAGAAAAACCGATCGAGTCGGATCTCGGTTTCCGCGCATGTGTATGTCCATCCTCGTGAATATAATTCAGCGATACGTTGTCCAAACAGGCATGTCATCGTCTCTCATCGTCACTTGTATGTACTTGACGTAGCGATTGACAACAATGGGATGGGATAACATCAATGATACCGAAAGATACCGCAATGTGATTAAAATGCGAGTCGCGCGTCATAACGTGCTTCCGCTGGTGTAACGTTACGAAACGGACGGACGAACGAACGAACGAACGAACGAACGCGCGGAATAGAATTATCGTTCGATGACACATTGAGTCGACGACGTTAAATCAATTCAATGGCGGACACGAACAATCGCCAACTCGCGACGAGTTCGTCCTTTTGTGTTCTCTCGTGAGAGAAAACTTTGCGGCTGTCTGATCGCCCGCTCGCGAAAGTCGGGAAAGTGTGTACAATTGAATGGTAGCGCATATCGAAAGTCCTTGATAACCGGACGAAAACCAATCGGCGGACCGAACGCCAATCTTGATCGGCAGAGAATGATATATTCGCGAAGGAACTCACGCGTTACGGCCGACCGTTCGGTTCTGTTTCGCGCTTAGTCGTGGAGCTTCCAACATTCTCGCGTTTCCGCCGTTCCTCGGCCCTAATGCCTCGTCTTCATTGGCACTCGTGCCAACAAAATAGCGCTCCAATGATCTTCCGGAGAGATTTACGACAAGAGAACACGCGTATGCACGCGCGAGCGCACGCGAGCAGTCGCAGTCCGACGCGTTCCGACCATATTGGAAAAAAGTTCACCGTGTAAATTGACGTGTCGTGAATTGAAGATGCGTACGGCGCGCGCGGCACCCGCGCGTTCCCGCGTTTTTCTTCCTGCCGACTCTTTAAACCTAACCTAGGTTTAACCTAACCTAACCAAACCAAATCAGCCTGGTCTTCTATCTTTCTTCCGGAGAGTTCCGACCATCAATTGTCTGTCTCTCTCTCTCTCTCTCTCTCTCTCTCTCTCTCTCTCTCTCTCCCCCTCTCTCTCTCTCCCTCCCTCTCTCTTTCTCCCCCTCTCCCTCTCCCTCTTGCAATTAAAGTGTACTTGTTTCATCCTCTAGTACTTATAAATGTACTTGTAAATAGTAAATAGCAACAGAGAGAACACGCGTTATAAGGTTAAGAGGTTATAAGAAAATATGCGTATAAACGGATTTCTAAAGCTCTGTTATATCTAAATAACGAGCGAACAATGATCGAGAGAGTTCGAAACTAAAGCGCGTGAGCCCACGCGAGCCGGCTCGGCCCGCCGCGGCGCGGTGCGGCGCGGCGGCTTCGTCGATTCGCGCTTTCTGGTTTGGTAAGCAACTTAAGGATGATGGTTCCGTTTTATTTATAAACAGCCGGGCGCCCGCGCTCCAAGGCTTGCGTGCGCGCAGCGAGTTGCCGGGTTGAACGCCTTCGAGTGCAACAGACCCGATAAAACGCACTAACGGAATGCACTTACACGTGCGCGCTTCTCTGTCGCGAAATTCTGTCGGACCGATCGTCCGACTTTTCGTTCGATCTCGTCTCGTATCGTGTTCGACGATACTCTTCGCGATGCTCTTCCCCCGCGCGGCTCGACCGCGCGCTAATTAAGAGCTGAAGGTAATTGAAACGGATGGCGTTGGCGACTGCGGCGACTGCGTTCGCTCCTCTTGCATAACTGCGTCGCAGTCGCAGTCGCACGCTTGAAAAAAAAGTGTTACGCCCGTTCGCAATCGGAACGCGTGGAGAAAAGAGACAAAAAGTGCGACACCTGAATCTTCTCGCCACCAAGGCGAACCGAACCACCAAGCGATGACGCGCAAACACTTGTCCTCGTTCGAACATGTCTCTTTTCGAACGGATAAAAGCAAGACAAAGAAAATCTCTTTCTTTGTCCGAAAGAGATCGCGTCGCGATAGATAAAAATTGGGCATTTTTCCGACGGATAATCGACGGATAAGGAAACCACGAGAAGCGAGACAACCATCTTGGTCTCTATCAAGGTCTCTATCTGATCTCTCCTTCCCCTCATTTGAGGCAAAAGCCCTCGATTGTCGCGTAAAATTGAAGTGCCAAGTGGCATATCGTCGATTGCTGTTGTCCCAACAGCACATCACAGTTCGTTGTGCGCTCTCTTCCTTGCTTCTTCCTGCACCACTGTGGTTACACGAACGAAGCGGCAAACGATGCGAATCACGTCTCGACGATCTCTATTATCGCCGACGTATAAGGAGCAGATCTCTCCGAATTAGCAGCGCGAATATCGATGCGTAAAAACACCGAGCACCGTATACGCGCGCATCGTATAGCGCATCGGTAACTGCAGCATCGCTCTCGCGCGTCGAGAGCACCAGTCTCTCCAGTGTCTCGCTCAATTACAACTTTCATTCAAGTGCGCAAGAAAAAGAAATCCGCGTCGGCCCGGTCGTCGTACCCCGGGGGGCGACGCGCGAGTGGCGTGACTCCGCGCGTCGATCTGGGGCTCGACGACCTTTTCCGCGCGGGCATCGATGTCTCTTTTCGCGAACGCGCTATCTACTTACCCCGCTAGCAACAACTGTCTGCTCGATCCTACATTGGTGCGCTCGACTGCCTTTCGCGCGCGCGCCTGCGCTGTCTCTCTCGGCAACGGCCGAGAAAAGAGGCCGCTTAGCACATCATACAGGCCCTAAATATGCACATTACGCTTTTGCATGAACGCGTGTTGATAGAATAGTACGAAACGAGAACGATTCGAGATTGTGAAAGGCTTTCTCGTTCAAGTTTAGGTTTGGGTTCAGCAAGCTACTTCGTACAACCAACTCGAACTCTCTCCAAGTATTTAAAGACGTATTTTACAGTCTTTGTCTCTCGACAAATCCAATGTCTGTTTATTTTCATATCACGATATCACTAATTTTCTATACTATACTGTCTATTGTGTCGTTTCCCTTATCTAAAATTACCGGAGCCTTTGTTGGAAAGTACAAGGACCGGTGTTTTCTCTCTCCCTCTCTCTCTCTCTCTCTCTCTCTCTCTCTCTCTCTCTCTCTCTCTCTCTCCCTCTCTCTCTCTCTCTCTCTCATAGACGAGTTTAGAAACAAGTCGGAGAACGACAAGAATCATCAAATTGATGAAGCAAAGAACACGTACGAGTGTCGCAAAGAAAGGTCTTGCAACTTGCAATTATTCCGACGAGCCTCTTTGGCTGTTTGTGATAGTTTCGCGGAGGTGCATACCTACTCTCGGTAATAATGCAAACCTCTCTCGGCTTGGCTCGGTTCGGACCTTTGCCGGCTGTTTCGCCTGTGCGCCTGTGTTCACGGCCATTTTCTCGAACAGAAAGGCCGTTTCTTCGATTCTCTACCTCCTTACGAATGCGGTATTAGAATCGCAGAGAGAGAGAGAGAGAGAGAGAGAGAGAGAGAGAGGGGGGGGAGAGAGAGAGAGAGAGAGGGGAGAGAGAGAGAGAGAGGGGAGAGAGAGAGAGGGGGGGGAGAGGGGGGGAGAGAGAGAGAAAACATCCACCAGGCTAAGATATTGTCCTTCAACGTGAGGCCATGCGTATATAGACGAACCGGTTTGAAACTGGGATACTAAATATTTTCGAGTAGAATGGCATGCGAGTGTCGTGAGCGATATATTTTACAGAATGCACATATATATTCAGTATCAGAAAAGTAGTTTTATTAAATTCTTGCGGAATTCCCATTCGCGATATGCAGATGCGATGTAAATCATAGACGTGATCAATCTTTCGAAATTCTGCGTCTGGGACGATGAAGTTAAAATTGATGTGTTTACTCGCGATGGAAATTGGATCGCTCAGAAATGGATATCGCATCATCGAGAAGAGAACGTTTGGACTCGAAAAGACACTTTTGTCGCGACTCCATGGCGACGCCGCCACATCAAAGTCTACGAGAGAATTTATTGGGCGTGTTCGCTCACGCGCGATCTTACGAGAACTTGCGTTCTCCTCAGTCGCGGTCGTTCTGACGTCATTTTGCAGCAATCTGGCCACCACGTGACAGGTATTTAAATGTACCGTATAGCTACCCCGTGTCGCGACAGACCCGCGACAAACGACACGCGGGGTTTCTGCTCGGCCTTCTTCGACGCGTTGCGACGGCGTTCGAGTCGGTCTCTCCTCCACCTTTTCCGCGCCTACGTTCACGGCTGTCTCCTCTTCGCTCGCGCTCTCTCTCTCTCTCTCTCTCTCTCTCTCTCTCTCTCTCTCTCTCTCTCTCTCTCTCTCTCTCTCTCTCTCTCTCTCTCTCTCTCTCTCTTTCTCTCGCTCTCGCTCTCGCTCTCGCTCTCGCTCTCCCTCTTCCTCTCTCTCTTTCTCTACTTCACCGCCCTGCCTTGGTAGAGTAGAGGGAGAGAAGAAGGTGCTCTTTTTCCTCAGGTAATACGCGCCTGCCGTTCACCTGGGCAGAAAGAGAGAGAGTCGCGTTCTTCAGTCTCGTAGCGGCGGGCCGGAGGGAAGGAACTCCGTGACCCTGAGGACGATTCTCGGATTTTTTCTTCGTTTCCTTCTCGTTCCGTTCTCTTCCTCGGACGCGTCTCACGCCGCGATTCCGCCGCAATTATTCAACGCGATACTACGGCGGCGGCGCCTATCTTCTCCCTCGCGTTCTCTTTCGCGTCGTCCCCTTTCGCGTCCGTTCGTTCGAACGTTCGTATCGTAATCAGCCAGTTATTTGCCGGTGTTTCGTTTCGTTGTGGTGAAGTGAAATTATCATCGACGCGGATTGTGTCGGGCGCTGAGATCACCTCAGCGGTGTACATGTACTCCTGGACACCAGGATCGCGCTGTAGAACGTAGGAGAAACGAACGTAAGTCTGTCGAGCGTCGGCTTCGGTGATTTCGCGCGGCGTGAATAACGCGCCTTTCTTCGTGCAGGCGCCGAGTAGCGGACACTTACGTCCGCGAAACAATTCAGACTCGATCGGGCACGAGGCCGAATTCGATCGGTTTACTTTCCTCACATCTGGTGGAAGGTGACATTGTTTCGGCGAAGATGTTTCCTTGCGCTCGCAATTCATCCCTATTTAATGCGTACACGCCTGTAACATACGCACACATTGCGCAAAGCACCTTGTGGCGCGCATATGCACGCTATTGCACGTGTAGAAATCTTTTTCTACGCTGCACTGCGAAGGAGATGTTGAAAATTGACGTTGAGTCACGTACTCACTACGATTCTGCACTCTCGCGATTCTCTTGAAACGCCAGAAACGCCAGAGATCGGTCGGTCGGTCGGTCAGTCGGTCGGTCGGTCGGTCGATGACTCGTTTTCAATTAGGGAGAATCGACGCGAAACAAATCCAAGCTCTCAGACAAAGTTATTTCGCGCCAAAGCTATTTCGCAATTGCGCAATTCAAACGGATGGTCAATAGTGCGTGCACTGGCGGAACACCGGAATGACTGTTATTGATCAGATTGCGTCTCGATTAGCAAAAAAAGAAAAAAAGAAGAAAAAAGGAAAGAAAAAGAAAGTTTGCGATGCGTTTGATACGCGTTTGATCCTCGTTGTTAACAGTAAAATGTTAAGTACCGTGATGTGATCGTGGAGGAAGCACGTCGGAATTACTGCCAATTTAATTTAAGCAGTCACCTCCCACTAACCATATAAGATTCGTCATAGGATAAGGAATAATTCCGCTTCGAAGAATCTCTTTCTGTATGGCTGCATCGCTTCGCACACGCATTTCGTAATTTATGTGTGTGTGTGTGTGTGTGTGTGTGTGCATATACACATACAAAACGTGTACAATCAATTTCTTTCGCGTTCATGTAATCGAAAGTATCGGGTTTGCGAGTACGCGTTGCAAACGTGCAAATTACTCGAAAATTTCTATCTTATAGAAATAGCCGTGATTCCTGGTCCTCTGTATGTACGTATGTATGTATGTATGTATGTATGTAATGTTCTTCACTTTTCTCGATACATTGAACATGCTTTTCCCGTCGATTGCGCTTGGCCTCGCTCGCGCTGCATCTCTCCATGCATTTTTCTTCTCACATGGCACGACAAACGTTCGTCGGCTCAACGAAGCGGCTCCACGCAGCGAATTCGTCATTCAAGCGGTCGTCATAAAGCGGCGTAGGAAGCAACGTGCACACGAGTGTGGAGGAGAGAAAGTTTTTCTCGCGCTCCATCGTTTCACGTTCGTAAGACGTTAACGTGGGGATATCGAGAGGAACGAGATTACGAGCCGCGTGCATATTTCCTTCGAGCGGTTCTTGGCGAGAAGAATTTAAAAAACGGGTCACGGTTCGTCGACCCGGAGCAAAAAGGGAGAAGCGGGAATCACTAGACTCCTCTTCTCTGCACCTCTTTAGCTTCCCCATAGCTTCCTCGCCAGTTTGTCGGATCGCTGTTCGTCGTAAATTCCAATTCCATCCGCTTGAATTGTATTAACAAACAAACTAAGCGATTTACGAAGTAAGAAAGGCGCGATATTGTAGCGCAAAAAAGGCTTTGTGCACAGCGTGTGCAGCGGCGTAACCGGCGTATCGCGATGATGTCCATGTGTCGTTAGTAGAAGTCATCATCGAAGTCATCGAACTCCTTTTGGATTTTTAACTCTTGTTACTCGCGGAATAACATGCAATAAGGCTTGGTGTTATGGTGGTTGTACGGCGTTGTGAATAGTGAATAGGTTAGATTGTTTTGCGTCAACCGTGTGGCTCGTCGTTGTTCTCTAGAAGGCTGCGGGTTTTTCGTTCGATCATGTCAGCAAAATTTCGTATATTTTGTCGGATGTGAAATAAGAGATATCACTGACTCGTATATTTTGTATATTTTGAATGTATACGTTACAAACGTGTCGGAGCAAAGCTCACACACGATGCAGCGGGCACGATCATCTAAGGTTTTTTCCATCGAAGGTTAGTATCTTCGGTACGATGACCGGCGGAAAATACAGACCGCGCTACGTAGCTCTCAGCTTGCGGATAGGTGGATAGGGATAGGTAGTAGTAGTAGGTAGGTAGGTAGGTAGGTAGGTAGGTAGGTAGGTAGGTAGGTAGGTAGGTAGGTAGGTAGGTAGGTAGGTAGGTAGGTAGGTAGGTAGGTAGGTAGGTAGGTAGGTAGGTAGATATATAGGTAGGTGGATGAGGCAGGTACACTGTACAGCGGACTGTATAGTGGAGTACTGAGACACGTAGCTAGATAAGTAGGATCTATCCCGCATCTACCGCGCATATTAAGGGCATTATTAAGGACATTCATTCGACCGTTCGATCCGTTGGATTATTCAAGTTATTGTGAAAATATAATACCTACTTGTATAGTTGTGCAAGTTGAAATTCGTCCCGAATCTCATTCGAATCTCACGCCGGATCCGTGCTCCGCTCTGAATCATCCGAATTATCACATATAGGATATATTATATTTGTCACGACGTGTCCAAGTCCATCATCTCACCAGCGAGAATATTCAATTGACGATACCACGATAGAACGATAGTAGCGATCAAATTCTCGCTTGCTCGCCTCGTTCGACTCCGTGACTTAACGACAGATTTACCGAAGCCATGACGCTACTTGGCCAGAGTACCGTTACCTGCCGACGGCTAGAGTATATCATCGCCGTGAGAAATTCCAATCGCGTAACAGACTTCGGTATGACCGAATGGAAGCTTGCACGACTGCCATCACGTGAGTCATGACAGGACCAATCGTAACGCGCGCCGCTATTGCGTTCATTCTTTGTTCTTTTATTTTTTTCCTCTTCCTCTCTCTCTCTCTCTTCTTTTCTCTTTTCGCTACTATATTATTATACGAAAAATTGCACTGTCGGAATGCGTCGAGAATGAATGAAGCTGGATTCGATGAAACCAGAGACACGCATTTCATACACATAATGAAGTATACGCATTATGCATGTGTATATATATATATATATATATATACATATAATGCATGTATATATTTAATTTCATGTATCCAAACACACACACACACACAAACTGCTCAAATTCAGTCAAGTTTAACGATTGTTAAACGCACTGTTGTACCTCGTCGTTGCTTCAACGGTTTAAAGGTGCACGGTTGCAGCTTTACCTTTACACCCGTCAGCTTTGCACGATCGCAGCTTCCTCGGCTTGCGATAATAATTGCGCGACCGGATTGCGTCTCGCGGGCAGCATTTTTCGCGTTGTCAGAAACGGCCGCGCGCGCGGCATTACCGAGCCGCGCTGCAACTGCACGACCACGCCCCGAAAGAGCCGCGAGTATGAGTATGACTCCGCGCCATAATATGAGCTTGTACCAGCAGCAACAACGACAACAGCAACAGTAACGCTTGGCATCCGCGACCGCGCCGCGCCGCGCCTCTCATTTTCATCGCATCTGGCTTGCATCGCGCGCGACCGTGTTGCACGTGGCTGCGGTGCGGCGCGGCGCGGCGCGGCGCGGCGCGGCGCGGCGCGGAGCCGGCTGTGCTCCCGCGGCCCGCCGCCTGCCGGTCGACGAACTGCGAGCTGCGAGCGATGTGAAACGACATCGGTGCGTCGCAGGTCGTCGTGGGTCGTAATGTAAATGTCATCGCCGACGAAAACACGGCGCACTTTCATCTGCCCATTTTCTCCCGGGAAATGTTGCTCTGTCGGTTTGAGCTCGGTCGGTTTGAGCTTTTGTAAACACATGACTGTAAAACAGTTCATCAAATGTGCCCAAAGTGACCAAATGATTATTGCTTGCGAAATTGATGAATATCCGTCATTTTCTTTGCAGCTTTCTGGCGCGGTTCTGGGCGCCAAATCTGGAAACGACTCTGGTCACATCATCGTGCCATCGCATCGTGCGAATCGCGCTTCCTCGACATTGGCTCAAAACTCGCGTGACATCGCCCCGTTTATCGGCTTACTTTATCGGTCAGTTGATTGTGAGAATTGCGTAGGATAACGAACGAACGAACGAACGAACGAATCTTCCTTCGGGTTAGTTGATCCCGCGGAAAGAGAAAAACGTCACGCGACGTGTCTAAAAGCTCGACCCTGAATTTTCGCCGGCTGTGCCACTTGAATGCATCCCGCATTCAAGAAACAAACGGTAAACCGAGCGAGCCCGCTGCAATACGCGAGGGCGATACGACAAAGTCATGCTCGCGAGAATGAGAATGACGGCCGTGGCTAATGACACACTCGCGCGTCCTTCGCAAAAATTGCAAGAGCAAAAAAGAGCAGACTGCCCGCGCAGACCCAAGGTGAACCCTCGTCAATCCATCATCAAGGTCAACGTGCAACGTGATCGCACGACGAAGTCATAGTGAATGTTACTTTGTCACAAATGTGATGTCACAGGGACATCACTCAAATCATGGTGACGTGTGAATATCGTTTTATCATTTATCAGCTTGTGACACTCGTTCACACATCGCTATGACTATTTCGATCGTGTGATCTTATTGTGTCGTATGGACATGGAAGTATACGGGAAATATTATATTACATACCAACTTGTATCTTACGCGAGCTCACGCTTACTCACAGTTACACACACACACACACACACACGCACACATTTGTGTTTGACCACAGATATTTGTTATAATGTTTGCTTGACTCGAATTTAGCGGTGGCCAAAGAGCGGTGGTCATACGAGAATAAGAGAATTTAAATGAGAAATCGAAAAAAAAGCGACAAACCCGGCATTCTTGCGATCTACATCAGCTGCGGGAACCGCGCGGTAGCCGCTGAGTGACTCGCTGGACCTAATGGTTCATACACTCGTGCATACAAACGACTTAACGGTAATTGGTCTGCGCGTACGAAGCGCAAGTGACAAGTGAACGAATAACCGGCAACGGCTGCCACGGCAAGACCCTCGACTCGATTTTCGAGAGAGACTTTTTTTTTTTATATACGTAATATCGATAAAGTCCGCGAGAGAGGTAGTACGTAAGTCGCGTTTCTTCTCGCTGCTAATCGGACGCCGCTAATCGGACGAACGGAACTCTTTCTTAATCTCTTTCTTACTCGGAAAATAGCCCAGGACTCGCAACGAAAGCTTGCACGAAAGAAAGAAAGAAAGAAAGAAAGAAAGAAAGAAAGAAAGAAAGAAAGAAAGAAAGAAAGAAAGAAAGAAACATGGAAACATCCAAGTCCTTTCAGGCGCAGGACAGATACAGGACAGATACAGGACAGGACAGGACAGGACATTGCTTTCGACTGTTGTTGACGCTCGGCTGCCCTCACCTGCTCGACGTAACCGTACCGACCGAGAGTAGCACAAAAATGGTTCGATTGTGTCTCATCACGCGGGATTTTTACGCGTCGACTCGAGTAAATGCGCCGTAGGTGTAGTAGCGTCATGTTGGAGAACATCAATTGAACATTAATGTTGAGTCCAAAGGAAGAAACGAAACTTGCCTTTTTGCATTCCCTTTCAGGACAGAGTGTTGTTGTATGCAAACGTTGTATGCAATGGCGAGGGAAGGAGTCGAGGGAGAGAGAAGGTCCATGCCGCGCGACCCTTCGAGCAAACGCGTCGAGTCTATTCTCGAGCTTCCTTCAGCGCGCGCTGAATTCCCACGAGAGAACCTGAAAAGTACACCCACGCTCAAGAATATAACGAAATGTTATATTCTCCGAGTTCCCACAGATCTTTCGTTACGAGGTTGAGGTTGAGGCTGAGGTTGTCTCTCGACCCGAGCTTGAGCTTCGACTCGACGGATTTATAAATATAACTAGCGGCGTTATTATTAATAACGCAAGGAAAGATGCCTGTGTCGTCAACGTCGGCGGGGAATGGTCGTCGAATGAGAATCCGCTTCGCGTGTTACCGTTACGCAAAAAGGGAAAAGGCGAAAATGCCAATTCTCTGAGGCTGAGGCGATGACAACCGGAAATTAGATCATGCCTTGTTACGCCGCGGCCGCAGACTCGAACGCATAGATAGTAGATTTGCCAATTCGTCCAAGACGCGTAGATATTACGCGATTACGGTAACACCGAGCCGTAATCAGGCCATGTTGTTCCATCCATTTCTGAGAAACGTGCAAACGACGGCATGCAAAATTCTCACCGTCGCGCATTTGTGCCGCGCACAGTCGGCCGACGTTATTAGGCTTTACGTAAAGCCTGAAAGTATCAACGTAATCAACGTAAACAATGAAGGAGTCTTTCCGCGATTCTTCAATTCTGTGTGTTGTGTCGCCATCTTCCTTTGCGCGCGCTTTAAACATATGCGCGCGTGTGTGTGTGTGTGTGTGTGTGTGTGTATAAAATAAATAATTTCTCTCCACCATCTTACATTTGCGCGTCGAAATTGCGAAATCGAGGATCGAGGAGATACTCGCGGCGCGGCGCGGCGCGACGTCGCGGCATATATAGCATAGTTGCGTTTCTTTTACATTACGTGTATTACAAACGACACGTGTGTACACTGTGTGTGTGTGTGTGTGTGTAACGTAATCTCGCCCGCCTCGATTATCGATCGTCGGCACGGATGTGTCCGCTGATGCCAGTGTGTCAAGACCGGATCGAGAAAGCCCGAACATACGGCCCGGACAATACGAAGCTCGTGATACTTTGCTCGTGATCGACCGTACCGTGAAGGTATATTTATTTATTTACCTCTACGTGGATTCACGGTCGTCTTTTTTGACTCGATAAATCTTCGTCGGCCAGAGCCGACCAGAGCTCGATCAGAGTCAAGTTCTCGACGGAGTAAAGTAAATTTGTGAATTCCAGTCACCACGTCGGACCACGGCGTCGGGCGTCGAAGCCCGTCGACGCGGGCTACCTTTGGGAAACAGGAGCAGGAAGTACACTCTCCGGCAAAACTCCGGCAAAAACTCACCCTGGAAACTAGACTGAATAACTAGCGTGCTCAGACAATAGAGACAGCACCGTGGAGTCGTCCGCCGAGCGTCTTCCTCCTCCTCCTCCTCCTCCTCCTCCTCCTCCTCCTCCTCCTCCTGAGATTTAACATCGCGACCAATCTTTGTGCTTCAATTTTCGACTTTACCGAGAGGATCGATCTCTAAAAAGAAAATTAAAATTTATCCTACAGAGTTTCGAGTTTTGTGTTTAATTTTTAATTCTACTGAATTTCTCAAGGCTCGTGGTAAGCGTGAGAACGGACACGATATGCGTAATATAGACACTTCCCCCCGGTCCCGAGTAGAGTAACAGTAATAACCCAGTGCGACGCGTGCTGGGTGCTCAGATACTGATAAAGAAATTAACGAAGAAGCGCGACTGTACATCCCCATGGGAACAAACGTGGAACCATATGTAACCCATATAGTTTTGCAGACAGCTTCTGCAAACGAAAGAAATAGCTGGATCGTAGAGCGCGTGACTTTTTTCTTTCCTCTTATCTCTCCTTTTACGCTCTTAAAATTTAATACCTCCTCTCGCGGAGGCAGGGTGTGTGTCCGCCGAGATATACCGCAGTTTCATAATTGTAATTTAAGAAAAGAAGAAATATGTCCGTGCAATCAAACTCGAAGGAGGAGGATACTTCTTTATCGCGGCTTATTGATAGATAACTGATAATTCCAACGTACGAGGCACAAAATAACCAGGATCTAGTTGGAAGGAAAGTATGTTTGCAGTGCTATCGTAATTATGGCGATGCAAACGCCTTTTCTACGCGGGAAGACCGTTATTCGGCATACTGCGCGCGAGAAGATGCATGAATTTGTCAGCATACAGCTGTGATACCCCGCACACACGCCGTGTGGTTTCGCCGCGTTTAAAAGCGCGTAGAAAATTGCACTTGCAACTGCACAACACTGTACACTGCGGTAACTGCAAATTTATTGCAGCTATAGGTATAGGTATAGGTATAGGTATAGGTGTAGGTATAGGTATAGGTATAGGTATAGGTGTAGGTAGGTAGGTAGGCGCAAAAGACTCTCTCTCTCTCTCTCTCTCTCTCTCTCCCTCTCTTCCTCATCGTCAGATTCTTCTCACTTGCAAAATGTTTTCTCGCTCGGATATTGGAAAACAAATGGAAACGATCCTTGACGTCGTCGGACCTTAGTCCGAAGTCAATATTGTTTGATTTTATTCACCAAAATTATTCACATTTTTGTTTAATGTCACTTTGAGTTTTATCTGACAAAACACTTTGGCGCGAATCGCGAGGAAATTCCCGTACCTTCACGCTCGACTACCGCTACCGCGAGTTTTGTTTGAGAAGTCGTTGCTCGCTTTTTACACGCACCGTTTCGTGCTGCTTAGCAGGAAACCCGAATACTTTCTAATACTGACCTACAGTCAGCCTGGAAATCCAGCATCCACGGATCTTTCCCTCTTGGGCCTTGGACCACGTAATCGCATACATGATTATCCGTCAAAATTGACTCAACCTTTTCCTTGCACATTCACTCACGTGGCGTTTGCAAGTTGTTACATATCTTAGGTTGACTTACACCTACGACAGTGTAAGGCAGGAAAATGGAAGAAGAGAAGCGTGTTTAGCGTGTTAACGCGTTGTTAAGCATTGCGTCTAACGACGATTAACATTACGGTCAACATATGCATCGTTGCAGTCAAAACGTATCTTCGTTCTTGGCGATAAGCGACATTTCTCGCACGTTTCTCGTTCAATTACACAATTGGAATTAGGTGATATATATATATATATATAGCGCGATTGCTCCACGATGTCGTCCAATTAATTACAATTAACCGACACAAAGTCTTTCTTCCGAGGGACTCGGATATCTTGAAAGATGAGCCCAAATAACCTAATTCCTTCCGATTATTTTCAACTAACCGCTCCCCCGCTTCGGTCGATGTATACACGTGTACGCGTATGTACGCTTTGACAGAGCGACGATATGTAAAGCACATTCCATATATTTTTCATGTGCGCAAAACGAGAAACATAAAGGAAATGTTTTTTTTTTTTTCTTAATCGGCGATTGATACGAGCCATCAGAAGCGAACACAGGTTGTACCCCTCTCTCTCTCTCTCTCTCTCTCTCTCTCTCTCTCTCTCTCTCTCTCTCTCTCTCTCTCTCTCCCTCTCTCTCTCTCTCTCTCTCTCTCTCTCTCTCTCTCCTTCGACCATACTGTCGACCACGAATATTTTCCAGAGTAGTTCGAAGGACGTCGCTGCGCGGCGCGGCGTCGGTGTGTATCGGTGGTCGCGATTCCATTTTACCGGTTTCGCATGTCGCAGGGACATGTCGTTGAGAGTCGGGGGGGGGGGGAACACACGCACAGGATGACGCGTACGCAGCCGCTTGCGTCGTTTCCTTCGTCGCTTCATAAATAGACGCACGCACGCACGCACTCTCGGGTCCAGTTGCGATGCGCGTGTGTGCTGTCTGGATTCCCTGATAAAACCGTTATAATCGCCGCGGATCGACTATCGAGAGGGGGGCATACCATGCTCGAGAGTTTAGCTCGCGGCAGGACCGACGCGATGAGGCCCGATGAGGCCCGATGAGGCCGAACCCGGTGGCCGACTTGAACGAACGAGTCAACCTTTCGGTGTCCTTTTGTTTGCACGCGTCACTCCTAACCTGCGTTTCCTTTCGTTTCGTTTCGTTGTGCAGTACATACCATACGTTGTGCAAGAGTAAAACAAGCGACAACGTATGTAGAACAAGAAAGACAAAAGAGAAAGAAGAGAGACAGAAACATGGGAGACGATCGAAATCGAAAAAGTAACAGCTTTATCGGCTCTCTGCCGTCATCCGCGGATTGATGACGACATTGGCGAAACGGCCAACTGCACTCGCGACTGCGTCCGCGCACGTCAGGACGCACAAGGAAGAGACTTCTTCTCTCGCGTGAGAGTTCCCACGGCGTAATGGGAAGCGCGACGCACATCTCCTCGCCGCAAATCTCCAAATCTCGGGGCCCAATTATCCCGCGTCGCGCTAATTGAACGCGAGTGCTCGCACACACACGGCGGCCGTTTGCTCCAGTTAAGCGTCTAATTGCACACCGCCGCGGGGACAGACAATGGCGCGTTGCGTAAAGCCGACTGGTATAACGGCGAACTCGAGCTCGTCATCAAGTGTAATAAACTTTCGCGACTCGTGCACGTATATATACGATCGCTTTCAGGCGGTTCCCACGAGTTTGCTCATCCGACAACGCTCATCGTTGCGTCACACACACACACACACACACACACACGTCACGACCACGTGCGATCGTTTGCGGCTTGGAAAACGCAACTGCCACTTAATTATTATTACATTATTATAGATAATAACACTCGAGGGACACATTCCGCGTTCCAGCTTGAACATGACAATTGATAAATTTTCTTTTTCTTTTAAAGCGATTGATTCGGTCAGCGATCGGTTTGCCGACAAGGTTTGAAAATAGGCGGGGGAGAAGGTTATATCGGAGAAATTGGAGTTACAGATCGACGTATACTGGCCAGAATCGGAAACTCGCTCTCTCTCTCTCTCTCTCTCTCTCTCTCTCTCTCTCTCTCTCTCTCGTCTGTAAAATTTCGACTTTCACAGTGAACACAAGAGGCAGCGCGTTTCATGCAAAAAGGAATGGGTGTGGTTGCGCTCTATGCTTACGATGTGAAAACATGCGAATGCACGGTGCAGAGCGTAACGTCGTCAATAATAATCTTGTGATGCCGAGCAAAGAGTTTATCTCGCCACTCGATTACGCGGCGCGAGGTATGCGACTGCTCTGTGGCACAATTCAGCCGCAGAAACCGTAAGGAATTTTATGGGAACCGGTGGTGGTGGTGGTGGTGGCGGTGGTGTATATTCAGCGCGTACAGAAACAGCGATACCTTCCGCATTCTCTCGCAATTATGACAAACGCTCGACGAATATGAAAAGAAAAGAAAAGGATAGATTATGGGACGAATAATCATTATGTGCGCGCGCGCACGCACAGTACACACACATGTATACAGTGTACACAGGCGGTGTACGCGCCTGTCCTATCCGTTCTGAATGTCTCTATGTCGCTAGGTTTGACGACAGAATATTGACGACAGAAGCGGTCAGTCACAAACGAGTCTCAGAGAGAAATTGACAAGTTTTGAGCAAACGGGTTACATGCCGTATCCGTTTTGCTATTATGACGTCGCGCGACGACATTGAGAGAACCGCGATCAATCACACATCAATTATCACACATCATCCGCGTGCGAGATTAATGCCACCGACTCATGTGGAATTTCTCATCTGTTGTAGGAAATATGCTGATAAGAGAATTGGCGGCCGTTTGGGTCGCCGTCCTCTTGTGCCATCTTCAGCTAACGGAGTCTCAGGTGAGCATCACGTAAGATTTGCCTAACGTCTCATCGTTAGGTTTTGTCTTTTCGCGTCTCGCTGGAAAGCCAGACAGGTCGCGCTCGCGCTTGCGGTCGCGTTTTTGCGTCGCTTTTGCGGCTCTTTACAAAATTCAAGAATTGGTCGCCGTTTCTTTGCTTTTTTGCGAGGCTTCATTATTTTCTCTTCATTATATATTTCACTCGGAAATGCTTTCTAACTCACGACAGACGACGCGTTAGTTGGCCAAACATTCGAGCATATCTGCTGAAAGTAATGTCGTTGACGAAGATGAAAACATCGCGGGGAGGGGGGAGGGGGACAAGCTCGAGCGCGGGATGAGTCCTTCCTCGGGAGAGATTCTCGGGAGTTTCAACCGCGCGCGTTATGAAGTAATTGTTATGTCGACGACGACGGCGGGGGTGGCGGTAGTGGCGGTAGTGGCGGCGGCGGCGACTCCATAGGAGTTACCGGTACCGGAGCTTGTTTCCACGAGATGTGGCATATGTGAGGTGAAAGTGAATTTCAACGTACAAGCGCGCCGAGTACTGCACAACCCGCACACAGTTACAACATTTTAACTACGGAATGTGGTAGTTGGAAAGTGCACAAGAGAGAGAGAGAGAGAGAGAGAGAGAGAGAGAGAATGTGACGAGAACGTAGCACAGAGACTAGCACTCGCAGCACGTATTGCGTATTCATACCCTCCTTGACACATGCAGTCCTCGCGAAGAGCGAAATTCGACGATATCGGTGTGTATGTGCTTCGAATTTTCCACGCCGTTCACTTTTCGACCACTTTTCGTTTTTCGCGTATAGATAATTGAAACCTAATTCTACACCTACGCTCGGACATTGGCTTTACCGCGGGCATCATTTACTGCTGCTCTCGCTCTCTTTCCCGATCCTTCTCGGTCTCGATCTCGATCGTGCAGTAAACTAATAAACGAGGAATCGTTTATCGCATGACATTGCACGACATCGTTGCAAACAAATGGGTTTAATGGAGCCGCGTAATCGCTGTAATAATCGCCGCAATTGCCGCAATCGCGAGTGCACCGCTTACGGGCCATTGCTCGATTCTCGAGCAAACTCACGCGCGCGAGAGACCTTCGTGTCCAGCTGGTGCGACTCGCACCTCTCGCAGGAATGTAGTCACCGTTATGTGTATCACTAATACACTACAAGCGTAGCATTGCAAAGCTACGCGTTGAAGTACAAAGAGGCGAATACGTGTTCGAGCCGTGCTCTTGCAGACACGCGGCCACCACATTGTGCGCGCGCGCTCTCTCTCTCTCTCTCTCTCTCTCTCTCTCTCTTGCGCGCGCGCGAGCAAGATGGACGCTCGAAGCAAAGATTGTCGGACAGATTGCGTTTTCACTTTCTCCTGTCGTATAACAATGCGTCAGTCCGAATCTAGTCGATTCTGGCATTCTGGCGCTGTGAAATCAGTACGTGCGCTCGTTCGTGGAGGAGGAGGAGGAGGAGGAGGAGAGGGGATTGAGAAGATTTTAATTTTTTAATAATAATCTTACCTTTTTTGAGACAAATATTGCGATTCGCGCTGCAGCTCGCCGCAGCTCCGCTGATCAAACCGATCAATCGATCAAACGAGGAAATGAGTCAATCGCGACGTTTCGCAATTAATTGACACGTCGTGTAGAGCTTCCCTTACGTGTTTTCTTATTTCTCACATTATATTCGTAATGTACATATCGTTACAATCTAAAATTTATACAAATTGTCTCAGCTTTGATATTGGCTTTGACCGGATACGCTTTGCTTCTGTTGCAGGTTCCCGCTACAAATGTCTTCACCTGTCCAAGCGGTAAGTACCTCGGGAGACGGATGGTATAATTCGCGACCTGCTGGGTCGCGAAGGGTTCAGTGGCTCAAACCCTTGCCAACTAGCTTGCGTCGCTTTGAAAAAATCTCGAAAATTTTAATTTGGTGCGAAAAAAATGTTTCGAATCAGAGCTGCGCGTATGCACTACCGGCAATTACACATGTACATACATGCGCTAGCCGCACGAGTTTCGAAAACGAGGCGCGCACGCCTCGTTTCCGCGTGTCCGATAGATCAATCTCGCGAGAAAGAGAGAGAGAGAGAGAGAGAGAGAGAGAGAGAGAGAGAGAGAGAGAGAGAGAGAGAGAGAGAGAGAGAGAGAGAGAGAGAGAGAGAGACAATGAGGATAAGAGTTTGCCCATTCGTAACGCTGCTCCACTTTTCCCCGCTACTCGTCGTTGCAATTAAAGTAGGCTGCACGTACCATATGGGGCCGGCCGGTCATTAGCCATGAGTCGTCGCGTGCACCGGAAAAATTGCAAGTGCCATTTACTACCGCGTACGTTTTCTGTTCTCTCGCTTCTCCGATCCCGTTTCGAACAAACGTCGTTTGACGATTCGTCGATGACGAACGACGAAAGAGAATCAACAAAGATGATCGCGAGTTATAAGCAACCCAATGTTCCGTTTATACGCAGCGACACGCACGATGCGATATTTAATATCAAAATGAAAAGAAAACCAAGCCCTCGCCACGTCAGTGCGTTACATATTTGCTACTACCACGTAAATCGCGTTATATATGATAACACGTTACGCACGTTACGTGTTATTCTATTTCGTGCTGATCAGAATCAAATTTGCCTCGTGGATGGACACTGACCAATTTGTTATCGTTTTCAACCAAACTCATCGCAATATTTATATCGCATCGTAAACACGTCGAACACGTAAAATATTTTTGCATTTGACGCGCGTTATACGAACGCGTACGAAAATTTTTTATCGTGAGATTCGCGTTTTCAAGTTTGTGAGAACCAAACTAAAGTTTCGTGTCGCGAGGAAACGGCTGAGCGAGATACTTTGAGTTTCGGTACCTGTATTCAATCAACGACTTTTCCCCGAAATGTTTAACTTGACGTATAAGAATAGCGCCCAATAGTAGTAATAGAGGATCAACTCCTAAGTCCAGGTAGATCCCGAAAAAGGATCTTAAGACGAGACTACATTCATAAACCGTGAATCCCTCCCCCCTCTCTCTCTGTCTCTCTGTCTCTCTCTCTCTCTCTCTCTCTCTCTCTCTCTCTCTCCCTCTCCCTCTCCCTCTCCCTCTCTCATTCCTCCCTCGTCGTCGCCGTCATCATTGACGATCCTAAAAATACTGCATTCTTAAACCGTGTATCCTTCGCCGACACGTAGGCCACTACGCTACGGTTGTCTACCTTCCTCCACTTGGAGGAAACTCGACCGAGCCGACACCGTCGAACGGGATTCCAAAAAGTAGAACATCCGGCAACACGCTCACTCATCTGTTCTTACGCGATCATCCGTCGTGCTTGTATGCGCGCGTACTCTGTTTGCGCAGCGTTTCTCGCCGGAAGGATGAATAGGAGACGAATAGGTACGAGGAAGGAAAAACCGTCTTTCCGGGTGCTTGTCCTACCTACACCTACACACAGTTACATCATCTTTCCGTCAGCTGTTGATCAGCAAACAAACACCGACAAAGTAGTCTACTTCTCTTCTCCTTCTTGTTTCTCCTTCAAGTTCGATCTCAGATCTCATCAATTTTACCGAGCTTAATGTCGACGATTGCAGCATTCGAAGCGAAAAAGTTTGCGAGCGTACAGAAATCTTCTTGCCGTGTATATATTATTATATACACTTTGATTTGTATCTTTTAATTCTTATATGTGTGGCATTTCATACTCAGTTTTCTGCAAAACTGTCTCGGTGTAACAGCGATGATGCAGAACGTGGTGGTGGCTTGTCGATGACATTACGGCATTGCGTGTATTGTTGGTGAAAACATCACGACGCCGACGGAGGAAAATAATATTTCTCACACACACACACACACACACACACACACACACACACACACACGTTTCTCAAACGAGAAATGCTAATGGATGCCGCGCGAGAACCGCGTACGCGGAGCGAGAACGCATGGCCGTTTGACCTTTGGAAAGAAAGGAAGGTCGTCATTGAGGTTCTCTCAGTCAGCGCGCGTCCAGCGCGTCCAGGTTGCATCGACGACACGACTGAATATATATCTATATAATATAATGCTACGTCTCATTTCTTTTCTCTTAACAGATCATCAAGTTGCGACCAAATGCGAGACGCTATTAATTGCATTATGGGCGGAATCTTCCCTTCGCTCTGAGGAAAATCAATGTGCTTTGTGTAATTGACAAATCGGAAATGGAAGAAAATCGGGATAGCATCTCTCCTTTAGATGCGATTTTTTATAAAAATCAACTCCGAAACAACTTTCTAACGATCACGATAAAAGTATATCCATCTTGACTCGATTGGAAAGTGTTGGGCAAAGTTGTGGAGTAGCATCTTTTGCTTATGTATAAAATTCAACTTACTAAATTTACGTAATTTTCGGTGAGTGTCATCGAATAGTGGCCAAATGATGACTGAGAGAGATTATTCATTCGAATGTAATATGAAAGAAAATATACAGGGCAAATTTTCCGTGCAATTTTCTGACAAGTTGAGACAATTTTGAAGGTCGTTAAGCAAACATGAATCATTAGCTATACGAGATATAGGATATACGAGAGGAACGAACGATTATTTGTACGAAACTGATAGGATTCTGTCTGAGATTGGATAGAATCTAATCTCTAGAATATCGCGGAATCGTAGTAATAGACAGTAGAGTTACGTTATTTCATAAAATCCCCCACGAGAGAGACCGTCAGCTCCGTAAGGCACAGTCTGTCTGTCTTAAAAATCGATACTTGGTGTTTGAGATCCGGTTGTGTTTGTCAGTGTTAGCGCGGATCATTGATTAACCTATTAATCGCCTTTCTTTTATCTCCGCTCAAAATTTGCCTGTGCGAAGGATGACCAAGGTATCCAAGTATCCGGTATCTCGGAAATACTGACAGATCTTACAGTAAAACAATTTCCTGCCTTGCTTGCTACGAGTTTTTAATCTCTCTCTCTCTCTCTCTCTCTCTCTCTCTCTCTCTCTCTCTCTCTCTCTCTCTCCCCCCTCCCCCCTCTCTCTCTCTCTCTCTCTCTCTCTCTCTCTGCCTTAACGATCTAACAAAACGACGATGGCGTTGGGATGAGCTCTCAGCAACTTGATTGAAACATGGAAATTGCGTATTCATAATGTATTATTACAAACTTTGTAATTGTGCTTGTTCTACACTTGGGCAGACAGCTTAATGCGATATTTTTCTGTGCACAGGATGGGAGCTGCGAGGCATACACTGTTATAAATTCTTCGCCATCTTGCACTCCTGGGAAAAAGCGGCGGAATTATGCAGGAGGTAAGCTACAGTCTATATCAATCCTTGCTTTGTCATTTTTGCTCAGGCTGAAGCACTATTTGAACGAAAAATCGAACGTGGAGAAAAAAGCGACGTTTCTCTCGACGAATACTTGATGAGAATACTTAATATCACATTTCGCGATATTCGCGGTATACATCATATGTGTGTGTATGTGTGTGATTGTAAACAGATTCATAATCTTGATCATAATCCATTCGTTATAGGTACGGCGGCGAGTTGATGGTGGTGGAGTCTTACAGCGAAAACAACATGTCAGCCAATATGGTTCCTTCAAAATTGAAGCACTATTGGCTGGGTCTCGCTTCTCTCGACGATTTACGGACCAACACACTCGAGTCCGCCGCAGGGATGCTCGTCTCGCAATACGCCGGTTTGTTTCCTTACCTACAACAAGTCCCCGTGTTCTTTTCCTCTCTCTAAAGTGTCAGATCTCTTGTCTCTTTCGATATATATATATATATATATTCGATATGTGTGTGTATGTGTATGTAACGTTTTAACGTTGCATCAGCGATCGACGACATGGCAAGACATCCAAGAGACCTTGATCAATCACTGAATTGTGAAGTGCGACCGCGACTCGCGAAAGCCGCTCCCGAGCCAAAGACGCAAGTTTGCAAGGTTGTAACGTAACTCGTAACTCTATCTCGTCAACTGGCTTTGATTGGCTCGTCATTTACTTGATTACAGTACTTGATTTCGGAATAAGAAAAAAAAAATAAAAAACACGAAAGAATCGCTCGTGTACATACAAGATCTCGCGATCTTATCCATCGTATCGCATCGTTTCGTCTCGGTAAATTCTTTTCGAAATGCTTCTCCTATTGAAAACGTATCACCACTGTGAAATTATGAAATCATCAAGTGACAGATTATCGCAAAGTGAACGCACGTTTCTCCCTGAAAGCTCCGATCTCTTGCACGCATGCAGGCACGCAGGCAGGCAGGCAGGCAGGCAGGCAGGCAGGCAGGTAGGCAGGGCCGGTCTCTATCAGGGTCACGGAAACACGGAACTCGCGCGGCGGCCACACGCGGCACCGAGACACACTTTTCCCACAAACAATGCTCCCACAACAATACTCGTCTCTTCGTCGTTGAACGACCGTCGTCCGTCGCAAGCTGCAATTTCCTCGTCTAGCGCATTTACGTTACCTCCCACGTTATCCACGCTACTAGATCGCGTATTGTTAATTACGTGCATTAATTCGTGTAATTCGTGTTTTATTTGCACGCGAATCGGTATCGTCAGCAATGGATGTGATTATCAAGCGTGTAACGTCACGCTTCCGTTGCATGGCTGATCGAAATCAATCAATCGATCAACCAATCACGTGACTCGCGTAGCTTCGTGACGGAGCGGCAAAACGAGCGTTTCTCGCGCGCACCCAGCGTGTTTACGTAGCGAATAAAAATGTAGGTTTCTGGGCGCCGAGGCAACCGAACCCACAATCAGGCGAGTGCGTAGATGTCGCCTTGACGGACGACCGACAAACGTGGGAACTGACCACGTGCGAGTCGCTGCTACCTTTCATGTGTCGTAGCACGGCCTGCCCTTCTGGTAAGTCCACGCCGCGCCGCGCGGTTCCTCACTCACATCTCTTAGAGCGAAATGATTTTCTACGTGTTTTGTACGTGTGACAACGATGATGACGATATGACCCCCTCGCAGGCTCGTTCCACTGTTCGAACGGCAAGTGCATCAACGCAGCGTTCAAGTGCGACAAGCAGGATGACTGTGGCGATTACTCCGACGAAATGGACTGCCCGGCCAACTGCCACTATTACATGGTGAGCAGCGGCGACGTTGTGGAGAGCCCGAATTTCCCGCATAAGTACGCACCCCTTAGCAACTGCAAGTGGACGCTGGAGGGCCCTCAAGGGCACAATATCCTTCTGCAGGTGAGAACGATGGCAAGCCTCGATCTCTCTCTCTCTCTCTCTCTCTCTCTCTCTCTCTCTCTCTCTCTCTCTCTCTCTCGATCTCTCTCTCTCTCTCTCTCTCTCTCTCTCTCTGCGCTGCAACCTGCGCGAGCTTATGCTCGCGATGCGCGCGCGCGAGCGCGACATGTGCAGCAAAGGACAAGGATCGAAAAAGAGAGGCTCAAAGAGGAATAAATTGATTTTGATTTGTGTTTCAGTTTCAAGAATTCGAGACGGAGAAGAGCTTCGACATAGTGCAGATTCTCGTGGGCGGTAGAACCGAGGACAAGTCGGTGAATCTCGCGACTCTATCCGGCAAGCAGGAACTCAGCAACAAACACTTTGTCTCGGCTTCCAACTTCATGATCGTAAAGTTCAGCACCGACGCATCGGTGGAGAAGAAAGGTTTTCGCGCTTCATGGAAGACCGAGGCGCAAAAGTGTGGCGGGAGCCTTCAGGCGACGCCGCAAGGACAGGTGCTCACGTCCCCTGGCTACCCGCAGAATTATCCGGGTGGGCTGGAGTGCCTGTACATTATTCGAGCTCAACCGGGACGCATAATGTCCTTGGAGGTAGGCGAACATGATCTCTCTTACCGTTCCATTTTCAGTCAGACGCTCGAGTGTTTCCCTATTCACACACTATTCGTTCGCGAGCTCTTGGCGAGCGAATTCGGCGTCGGCGACAACAACAAGGTTCGAAACGCACGACGGATATCCGAGTCTAATCTCGCGTCTTACTTCTAGATCGAGGACTTGGAGCTCGAAACGAACCGAGACTACATTTTAATCAGAGACGGAGACTCACCCATGAGCCGACCGATCGCGCGTCTTACGGGAAAATCGGGCGACAATCCCACGGTGATCATGTCCACTGGAAGCGACTTGTATCTCTACTTCAAAACGAGTCTCGGCGATTCCATGCGAGGATTCAGCATACGCTATACGCAGGGTTGCAAAGCTACGATTATCGCGAGAAACGGCACAGTTCAGTCGCCTTCCTACAATCTCAACGAATATCCGAATAATCAAGAGTGCCTGTACAGGATCAAGAATCCGGACAGAGGACCGTTGTCTCTGAGATTTGTCAACTTTAACGTTCATCAGACTGACTACGTGCAGGTGCAAAAAGGGTTTCCCCTTCAATCCCTTTGCGATAATCACACACACACACACACACACACACACACACACACACACACACACACACACACACACACACACACACACACACACACACAAATGTACGAAACAGTACCGTATCCGTATGTTTGTTGCTCGCTGCAGATATACGACGGCTCAAACACGAACGATCTCGGCTTGCACCCCGGCAACGGTTTCACTTGGAGCGCTCAACCAAAAATCACGCTCACCGCTGAAAGCGGAGAGATGCTCGTTAGGTTCGTGTCCGACGCTTTACACAGCAGCGCAGGCTGGCAAGCTCAGTTCTCGGCCGGTGAGTCGTTCCGTATCCGTATTTCTATCCGTATGGTTCTATCGTATCGTATGGTGTGTATCCACCGTCATGTATGTACAACATACATGTAGTCTAGTGAGTGATAAAATTATTGCAGCGTGTAATATCGTATATCTGCTATCTCGTATTACCACCGTAGTGCAACGAATCACATAAGAGTGCGCGCGCGCGCGCTGTTCGTTCATATTTGACTTTGGCTTGGAGAGGAGAAAAGAAGCACAATTTTTTCGCAGATTGCCCGAAATTGAAACCCGGCGGAGATGCTTTAGCGTCGAGTCGGGACACAGCCTTCGGCACGGCCGTTACGTTCTCGTGCCCGTTAGGACAGGAGTTCGCCACGGGAAAATCGAGAATCTCTACAGAGTGTCTCCCTGGAGGTAACTGGTCCGTTACGTACATTCCGAAATGTCAGGAGGTATATTGCGGCCCCGTGCCTCAGATTGACAATGGATTTTCGATCGGCTCCTCGAACGTTACTTATCGCGGACTGGCGACCTATCAGTGTTACGCGGGATTCGCCTTTCCTTCGGGAAGACCGACGGAGAAGATCTCGTGCTTGGCTGATGGTAGATGGGAAAAGAAACCGTCCTGTTTAGGTACGAAGAATGATCGGATACGATCCGATATGCGAATAGCATCGCATATCGCATCGCACCGTATCATCAATCGTCATTTATACATATATATCGCTTGCGATATACTTGTCTCATTCTCTCATTCTTCATCCTAACGACGGAGGGACATCCGCTCGCGCTTGTTCGCTTTCAGCGTCTCAGTGCGCACCGCTCCCAGAGGCACCACACTCCAACATAACCATCTTGAACGGAGGTGGTCGGAGTTACGGCACGATCGTTAGATTCGAATGCGAGCCCGGATACGTACGAAACGGACACCCCGTCATTCTTTGCATGAGTGACGGCACCTGGTCCGACCAAGTGCCAACATGTTCGCGTGAGTCAGATCCCACCCTTTTTTTTTTAACGCGGCATTGTAACCGCATTTGTAATAAAATAAAAATATTACAAATATTTGATATTGGATTTTTTCACGTTCAATTATCAAATCGAGTCGAAAAGATTTTCAAGTCGAAATGTTCATCTTTGACAGGTGCCAAGTGTACGCTGCTGCCCACGATTAAGAATGGATTTATCCTCGATACCGGCAGAGATTATTACTTTGGTGACGAGGCTAGAGTGCAGTGTAACAGAGGCTACAAGCTGACCGGATTGAACATTATACAATGCGGTCCTCATCGGTACTTCGATAACGTGCCAACTTGCGAAGGTGCGAAACACGTCGCACGTACAAAGTACAAAGTGCGCAAAAGCGCGAAAAGTTGCGAAAACAGACTTGTACACTACTCAAACACTTACTCTTGTACTTCTTGATTAGAATAATCAAGTGTATATATATATATATATATATATTATTACATGCGACAGCGACAGCGATGACGCCGATGATGATGATGATGATGATGATGATGATGATGATGATGATTGTTGTTTTCTTATTTCTCTCTCTCTCTCTCTCTCTCTCAGATATAAACGAGTGCGCGTCTACTCAGTGCGATTTGGCATCCACAGAGTGTATAAACTATCCTGGCGCGTTTACCTGCAAGTGTAAGCCCGGCTTCGCTGTTACCACCGAGTGTCGATCCATCGGCGACCTCGGTCTCATCAACGGCGGCATTCCCGACGAATCGATCACGGTCTCGGGCTCGGACAATGGCTACAGCAAAACCGTAAGACGCGAATGTTATCTTGTTATTTAAGTAACGCCTTTAATCTCAATTAATAAACGCACCGTCGTCGCATTCTCTCACTGCGCGTTCGTCGCAGGGAATTCGCTTGAGCAGCAGCGATGGCTGGTGCGGCAGTAGGAGCAAGGAGCCGGGTGGCGCAAACTGGGTGATGATCGACATGAAAGCCCCGACGATCCTTCGCGGCTTCCGCACGCATGTCGTAGTCAGGAATGGCACCGTCGCCTATGCGTCCGCGGTGCGGATTCAGTACACCGATGAACTGACGGACGTTTTCAAGGACTACACCAATCCGGACGGTACGCCGGTCGAGTTCAGGATCGTGGAACCGACGCTTTCCGTGCTGAACCTACCGGTGCCTATCGAGGCGCGCTACGTGAAATTCAGAATACAGAGCTACGACAAGAAACCTTGCATGAAGTTGGAGATAATGGGTTGCACTAGACTCGAGTGCGTAGATATCAACGAGTGCGCGATAAAGAACGGGGGTTGTCATCAAAAGTGCGTCAACAGTCCCGGCAGTTATTCCTGCATGTGCAACACCGGCTTCGAGCTGTACAGAGGCAACGGCACGGCTGGTTACAATTTGGCGAAGTCGGAGACTGGCGAAAAGGACGGCGATCTGTATCAGAGAAACAAGACGTGCGTAGCGGTGATGTGCCCGCCACTGACGGCGCCGGAAAATGGAAAGTTACTGTCGACTAAGGTGAGCTTGGTGACACACACACACACACACACACACACATGATGATTTTTCAACGACGTTTCAGGGGAGAAGGAGCAGCAGTTGCTATTATTATCTACTTATTTATTTATTACTTCGTAATTCATGTCCTCCGAGCGCGCGCGTGATTTCGAGAATGTCGGTAATCGGTGCGGACCCAAGACGCAGAGAGACTCATTTCTTTTTTCTAGAAGCAGCATCACTACATCGATATCGTCAGATTCCAGTGCAATTTTGGTTACGTACTATCCGGCTCCGCGGCTGTGATGTGCACTTCTTCCGGTGCTTGGAACGGAACCGTACCCGAATGTCAATGTGAGTGAGTGAGGCATACGCTACGCGCATGTGCGCGCACATGCGCGCGTATGTGCAAAATATTACATCTCTCAAAATTACCGATAACACGCCAACACCACAACCGACAACAATATCGCTGAGCAATAGCTCAGTCACACAGTCGTGCACATTTCGTGCAGCCTTCCTTCTCCGACGAACGTCCTTCTCCGACGTCTGTCTATCTCTCTGTCTGTTTCAGACGCGAAGTGTGTCTCGCTACCGGACGACAAGAACGAGGGTCTTTCCGTGAATCGGACCGACAAGAGCAGCGTGCTGGTGCCGTTCAAGCAGAACGTCACTCTCGAGTGCAGCAGCGACGGTCGTTACTTACGCAGTACCGTGACCTCCGCTTTCCGACAGTGCGTGTACGATCCAAAGTCCGGCTTTCCCGATTACTGGCTGTCCGGTTTGCAGCCAGCCTGCCCTCGGGTGGACTGCGGGAGGCCTCTTCCCACGCCTGGCGCCGAGTACGGCCAATATCCGGACACCAAGTACAAGTCCTCCTTCTTCTTCGGCTGTCAGGACACATTCAAGCTGGCCGGTCAGACCAAACGTCACGACAATGTCGTGCGATGCCAGCAGGACGGTGTATGGGACTTTGGCAATCTGCGATGCGAAGGTCCGGTCTGCGAGGATCCCGGAAGACCGAGCGATGGTTATCAGGAGGCGCGGAGCTACGAACAGGGCTCGGAGATTCGGTTCGGTTGCGCGAGACCGGGCTACATCCTCATCAATCCGCGACCGATCGTCTGCATCCGCGAGCCTGAGTGCAAGGTCGTGAGACCTCTCGGTCTGACTTCCGGGCGAATCCCAGACTCGGCGATAAACGCCACTTCCGAGAGGCCCAACTACGAGGCCAGGAACATCCGTTTGAACTCGGTGACCGGCTGGTGCGGCAAGCAGCACCCGTTCACTTATGTGAGCGTCGACCTTGGCCGCGTGCATCGCGTCAAAGCGATGCTCGTCAAGGGCGTCGTCACCAACAACGTCGTCGGCAGACCGGCAGAGATCCGTTTGTTTTACAAGCAGGCGGAGGAGGAGAATTACGTCGTTTACTATCCGAACTTTACTCTGACGGTGCGCGATCCCGGGAATTACGGCGAGCTGGCGATGATCACGCTACCCAAGTACGTGCAGGCTCGCTTCGTTGTCATCGGTATTGTCACTTTCATCAAGAACCCCTGCATGAAACTCGAGCTGATGGGATGCGAGGAGCCGTCGGCGGAACCGTTGTTGGGTTACGACTACGGATTCTCGCCCTGCGTGGACAACGAGCCGCCGGTCTTCCAGAACTGCCCGCAGCAGCCTATAGTTGTGCAGAAGAGAGCCGACGGAGGCTTGCTTCCGGTCAACTTTACCGTGCCAACGGCCGTCGACAACAGCGGTAGTATCGCCCGTTTCGAGGTAATACCCGAGGGTTTCAAGACCCCGATTCAAGTCCTCAAGGATATCGTCGTGAAATACCTGGCCTTTGACTACGACGGCAACGTTGCTATTTGCGAGATCAACATCACCGTGCCGGGTTAGTAACACAACAACCTCGCTTTCCTCGCTTACACATTCACAGTTGAGTCACAGAGTCTCGACTCAAGTCAACTGTGGACTGGACTGAACGCGCGGCGGCGGCGGCGGCGGCGGCGCGCGCGCGCGCGCGCGACTGGCGACTGGCGACATGTCGCCGAATTGTCGCCGAAAGAGAGCATGTACTTCTGTATCTGTATCTGTCGTGTATGCGCATCTAGTAAAATTGTGCGATATTTCATCGTAGATGTGACTCCACCGCGACTGAGCTGCCCGCAGAGCTATGTCATCGAGCTGATCGACCGACAAGAGAGTTACCCCATCAACTTCAACGAAACGCGAAGGCTCATCAACGCTACGGACGCATCCGATCCCGTGAAAATCACCTTCGATCCGCAACACGCGCTCATCAAGATCGGCGAGTACAAGAACGTCACGGTGTACGCGACAGATCCGAGCGGCAACACGGCCGAGTGCCACTTTCAAGTGTTGGTTCAGGCGACACCCTGCGTCGACTGGGAGCTAAAGCCGCCGGCGAATGGTGACTTAAAATGCGCCCCCGGAGACAAGGGATTGCTGCAGTGCAATGCGACCTGCAGGGCTGAGTATAAATTCACCGATGGCTCGCTCGCCAAGACGTTCGGTTGCGTCGGTAAGCGCTGGACGCCCACGTCGGTGGTTCCCGACTGCGTGTCTGAGAGTAAGTGTCGCCTTGCCTCGCCTCGCCTCGCCTCGCCTCGTCGAGATTTTGATATCTTTTCTAGATCTATTTCCATCCATCCTTGCCTTGCCTTGCCTTGATTCGAAAATCACCCGACTTTTCTTTCCCTCCTCCTTCGCTTATTGAACAATCTGCTGCCGACTGCTGTTCCCCGATCGATTCCTACCGAGAATCATAATCATATTTGCAGACACGCAACAGGCAAATTATCACGTGATCGCCTCGATAAACTATCGTGCGAATGGCGCTGTTTCACGTTCCTGCTTACCGATGTATCAGGATCTTATGGCTCAACATTATATAAACCTGAGCACCGTCTTGACGAAGCGTTGCACTCTGGTCAATGTGTTTAACGTATCCTTCGTACAGTCGATGCCTTTCTTGGTCGAAGAGAACGTTCTCAAGGTAAAGAATCGAATGTGTATGTAACTTTTGTACGCTCATTTTTACACACACACACACACACACACATGTTCTGGTCGATACGGCGCGGCGGTTCGATTCGACGAGCCGTTCATCACTCAACGTCATTTTTATCAATAAATCTAGTAAAAGTATTTTTACCAATAAATCTAGTAAAAGTAGACTCGGTGTGTAAACTCTGTTTCGGCTCTGATACTGACACTGACGACGAGGTCAGTGCTCTACACTCTACCGCTCTACCGGAAGCAACTGGCTCGACAACTGGTTCCGCATCAGCCTAAGCCCAGCCCCTAACCTAACTCGCGTTTCATGCAAATTTCAGATGGATTTCGTTCTGCTAGTCGTTTCCACGGAACGTCAATCCTTGGAACTTTACGAACACTGCGGCAACACGTTGAATATCATCTTTAATTTGAATCTTGCAAACAACACCGCGCATATCGAACCCCTGTTGAACGTTTCCGCGATCGGCAATCAATGCCCGCCCCTTCGTGCTCTCAAATCGTCCGTCACCAGAGGCTTCACGTGTAGCATCGGCGAGGTACTGAACACAGACACCAATGACGTTCCTCGCTGTCGTAAGTATCTATCTGTCAGTCTATTTTATCTATCGACACCACTTGCCTATTGACTGACACAGACAGATTTCTGCGCGACTAGCCTCGCTTCGAAGAAATGCCATGCTACTCGAGACCTACCTACCTACTCCCCGCCATGCCATTGCGCGCTTTCATTTCGCAGTACACTGTCCCGCCGGGACGTTCGCCGGTGAGAAGCAGGAGCAGTGCAAGCCTTGCCCGAAAGGTCTCTACCAGAACAACGACCGTCAAGGCTCTTGCATACAGTGTCCGGCCGGCACTTACACCAAGGAGGAAGGCACAAAGAACATGGAAGACTGCATACCGGTCTGCGGCTACGGCACGTACTCACCCACCGGCCTCGTGCCCTGCCTGGAGTGCCCGAGGAACAGTTACACCGGCGAGCCGCCGATCGGAGGTTGCAAGGACTGCCAGACCTGTCCAGCCGGCACGTTCACCTATCAGCCAGCGGCGTCCGGTCGCGACCACTGCCGCGCCAAGTGTTCGCCGGGCATGTACTCCGACACCGGTCTAGCGCCTTGCGCCCAGTGCCCGAAGGACTTCTTCCAGCCTCAATACGGCGCGACCACTTGCGAGGAGTGTCTCGACTACATGTACACGGAAGGACCGGGCTCGGTGGACCGCAAAGAGTGCAAGCTCGTCCAGTGCACCGACGGCGTGTGCCAACATGGCGGTCTCTGCTCGCCGCTGGTACACGACATGTATTGCTACTGTCCGGCCGGCTTCTCCGGGAGACGCTGCGAAATCGACATTGACGAGTGCGCGTCTCAGCCATGCTACAACGACGCTACGTGCGTCGACCTGCCGCAGGGCTACCGTTGCCAGTGCGCCAACGGTT